CATTTTGTCGAATACTAGGAACAAAACTGCTGAATCTGATAAAGGCCATGCAACAAAGCTGAATGCATCAGCAAGAACAAGTCTTCTCATTGTCCTTTGCCTGAATGTTAATCAGTCTGATGGAGTCCAATGTTAAGGGTGCAGGGAGAGAGCAGACTAAATGCCTTGCTTACTTGCTGGTGCTACTGCTTCAGGCCATGCTTATCAGCAAGTGGGGATCGCTAGAGTAACATGGTAATTGGACTCAGTGGAACTTCTCTCCTACTGTCTGTGCCAAGTTCCCAGCCTCTGTTGGTACAAGACCAATTACAGAGTGAACAAACACAATGGGGCTCAAAGTCAAACGGTCTTTCACACTAGGTAATTTCAGATCGAGGCAACTCTGAATCCAAGCCCAAGCCTTCGCTAGTGCTGTAATCACTGAAAATATATACATGTAGCTCTTCTGACACCAGTGAGGATTTCTTGATAAACTGAGGTGGTTGCTAATCCAGACTGTTTTTCAGAGCACCAAAGGGGTTTCAATAGCACTCATAGGGTGGCCCAGTATTTGAAGGCCTGCTAGAGGACTATCCTCTCTGTTTGAAAGGTCCTCCCTGTAACCTACATGCTCTGCTGTTTCACATGGTCCAAAACTCTCAGGGGTTACTTTTTAGGGCACGCAGGAGATTGCAGTTGGGGGAAGTAGGAAAACCCCTTTGCAAGAGCAGAGTAACACACTCACTTCTTTGGATAACTGACCTCACCCCTTTTCTCCAGCTATTTACTCTAACTATATTCATTTAGAGTTGTGCCTCAATACTTCCTGAAATATTTGCTTCTTTACCATAACAGTTACTTGTTTTGTTAGTTGGCAAACCCAAATCAAATCAAGCCCCTATCAGATCAGTGCAACTTCCCCTAATTTGGTTACAATGGACCACGATTCTCAAAATCCCTATTCAGCATCACCATCACCCATGCTGACTTGGTGGAGAGGAGGAACGTTGTAGCCCGACACAATTGGAGGGTGTCAAGTTTCAGAAGGCTGGACCAGTGTCTGGCATGTGATTGTTGATCAGATGTTAAGTCATGTCTGACTGTCTGTTACCGCATGGACAAAGCACACATAAATCATTCATATTTATGTCCCCCATTTTCCCTCTTTTCCACCCAAATGGCCCTCTGAGAGACTCCCTCCATATTTACATGCTAACTCATCCCATCGTTCTTTCCTGTGTTTACTTATTCATTTCAAACCTCTTCCTGCCTTCTCTTCTAAATAAAACCACACACTTAAGTGCGGGGTAGTGGGTAAAGCAGCCTTCCTCAACTAGGCATCCTTCAAATATGATGGACTAGATTTCCCATTACTCATCAATATAACCACAGGATGATAAGAACTATATTTTACCACATAGGTTGGGAAAGGCTATGCTTGACTCTCAGATCATGACTGAGGAGAACTGGCTTCCATTTTCTGCTGAATCCAAAACACACAAAGTGACCTCAAGCCAAGTACTATCTGTCAAAAAAACAGATAGGATCATTGTCAGGATAATAAGGGGATGGTCATGGGGAGAAGGTTTGTAGGATTTCCTGAAATCTCTGGAGAAAAGACAGGATATAAATATAATAGATATATTTCTGCTCCTGAATTTACTTAGGCCACAGTCCATTGAACCAGGCGAATAGTACAACACAGCTAAGCATAGGAAGGGTGACTTTAAAAAAGTTCTGCTGTGCCATATGACAACCCTACTTTAAAAAAGTGGAGGTGTTTCGAAAGCTATTAGTGATATAGTAACTGCCATTAATGCATTAATCCATTCAAAACAACTAACAATTGAAAATCCATGTCAGTATGCTTAAAGTAGGTCTCTGAATGTTGGACTGGATATTTTAAGTACACCTTTTGTAAGAGTCTTTTAGATTTTCTGCTATTTCACCTTAGACCAGAGACAGCCTTCAACAAGCACACATGAGTGAGGGATTGGATGCATGCACTTGCTTACAAGACCTTTAGCTCCCTCACCACATCTAATTTGTTCATGTTTTTATCTTCCTTCAGCCTTTATATGAGCTTACAGACAAGTGCAGCACATTTGTGACTGGCCTTCTGGATTACATTTTGCTCTCCTTGCAAGTCAGAATTATGCAAGGCTTTTCCTTCTACTAGGCCTCACATCTTTATACATTCTGATCCATCAACAGTAATGAATCTTAGGAGAAAACTGTTCAGAGTCAGCATTCCCTTCTAATATTGTTGATGTGTCACAGAACAATATGAATTAATTCAGTAATTTAAAGTTACTGATTCACTGGGGCAACAGCAAACATAGACCATTTAGTTAGCCTGTCAAACCTGACAAGGACTTCAGGCAGAAGAGAGGGGAAAGGAAGTACAAGCTAAAGTTTTTTATATGAGGTGTCTAATGCATCTTGGAAAGAGCTTTCTCCAAAATGAATGACAGCTCTGAGACGTCTATTTTGTGAGATGTTGAGGTGACAGCAAATTTGTCTTTTTGCGTTACATTTGTAGAGAGGCATGCTAAAATAGAAACATTATGGAGATATTTCCAAAATCATATTCCATAGATAGGAAAATTCACCTGGTGTAAATGTTTGTATAACCTCATATATGTGGAAAGATAAAAGGCACAAAAACTTCAACAATAACACTGGTGAACTGCTTGTGAATGTATTATCTTTACTAATTAAAGCACTCAGGAAGGTTGATTTTTCCAGTATTTCATAGACAAGAAGAAGAAGATGATGATGACGACGACAGACAGACAGACAAATTTTCCAGAAGACACATGGAGTCTGCTATACCTGGGTAAAGTCACAGCTTATTTGTATCTACTCATATATAAGTCAATTGGGTTTATTATCAGGTAAATAGGTACAGAGCTGCAAAACTCTGTTTAATTCTAACAACATCACCATGAAGGCATTTATCATTCAGGTATTTGTTATTAATGAACAAATCAAGATAAATTTAAGAGGCACCACTCTCCAGGAAATTCTGCTCACAGGCCCCAGAGGATCTTCAGTCCTTACATTCATTGCAGTGGGACTTGGCCTCAGTGGATTATGTCCACCATCTCTTCTGTAGCTAAATCTGGATGTTTGCAATCCAAAATATTTCCAGGGAAAACCATCTACTGTGCCTGTTCTACATTCTGATCTCATCTGTAGCTAAGAAACAGGCCAGCAAGAAATAAGCAAGATGAAAAGTGGGTCTTCCCACACCCCCTCTCATCTCCTAGCAACAGTTCTCCAACTTTGGAACATCACCAGTTACAAAGAACAACAGAATGAGAAAGGCTGGGTTTTCCTGCTGCCCTCTTGACAATCTAAATAACTGTCACATCAGCTGAAAGCAGCCATTCCTACAGTCTTACAGCAGCTTAAACAAGCTTGTGGTTGACCATCTGTGTGTGTCCACATCACCCAAGATCCCCAGCAGTGAGCCACCTCATCCTTGCTGACAGCTCTGCAGTAATAAAATCTTTCCCTAAAAATAATGCATGCATATCATGTCTTCCATGCCCAAGCAGCTCGAAAAACTCTCAGAAGCAAGCAAGGAAACAAGCTGTTTCTCCTAGAAATCAAATTTACTGCCATTGTCTTACTTGCTGCCAGAGGAAAGGCTTATAAAGTGTTGATAAGCAGAAATTGCTCTTATATCCGCTTTCTGCAGTCTGCTGCTAGTATATCTTTGCTTCACTTTTTCTTTAACAAAAACACATGCTAATCATGAATTTGGTATGTAATAATGTACTGGCTGCATTGGAAAAAATCAGACCATAAGTAGAAAAGTATTTTAGCAGTGAATACAATATAACAGCCAGGTTTTTCTGGCTAAAGGCTAATACTGCTACTGAAACCATTGTTTGATACTACAGTGACATAGGAACTACATAGGTCAGTGTACACTATTTCTGATCTAATTTTAAGGTAATTTTGGGATTTACAACACTGAATGTGCATAATAAATGCAATTATAACAATTGTATCTTTAGTGCATAACAAAAGCTGAATATTTTCTTGCTCTGATGCAAAATTAATAAAGACGAAAATCACTCATGGGAGCATGCTCATTTTTCATATTTGAAGCATTTGGCTGGGATCCTTTTAGAAAATTATCATAACTTATCATAGGAATACAGACTAGATTGAAAAATGGCTTCTTGAACTCCAGTCTGACTGTGACAAGTAATTCCAGCATTAGGAATTTGAGGTAATTTTTTTAAAACAAACAAACATTATGCATCTTGGGCAGCCAAAGTAGGTTTGTACTTTTTTTGCACAACTTCCAAAAACTCCATTAATTTATTCTCACCTCTAGCAAAAATTCATCAGAAATAGAGGGAGATTACAGAGCTAGAGTATTTGGTGTTCTATATCACTGTACAGCATTTTGTGACCCATCAGTTTCCTGGCTGAGAAAAAAAAAAGACCAACTAGGGTCACCTGCGCAAACCCTTTACACAATCTGATAAAATGGATGAGCATTTTCACAGTTTATTTATTTATTTTATTTATTAAAACATTTTTATGCCGCCCGATTGAAACACAATGAATTTACCATTTCTATAACTTTGTACAAGTTCCATAGCTATGGATATTCGATTTTACCTACATGATAACTAAATAAATCACCAACCATTTCACCTTTAGAGTAAGTTAATTAGCTTGCTAGCAAGATTGGATTCTCGCTGTACTCAGCTTCTCTGAGTATACTGATGAATTCCAGAAAGGACAAGTTTAACTGGAAAACTGTAACCATGTTATCTCAGAAATTTTAGTATATATTTTAATAAACTGCTATAAACCACTCAGAGAGCATCAGCTATTGGGCAATATAGAAATGAAATTAATTAATTACATAAATAGTTAAGTGCCTTTTTATATTGACTCTGCCTTGTGAGCACTGGCTGGGTGTCCTAAGGGAAAGAATGCCCTGTGGTTATGTGGTGGGACTGTCCTTGTTCCTATGCCCTGCAGTTATTTACCTTGTACAAACTCTGATTTTCTGCTTATCGTAGGCAAGGTCCGGTTCAGTCCCAGGATCCTGTCCAAATGGAAGGCAAACACTTCACTCAGGTCAAGAGGTCTCTTAATGAGGCCACAGTGGTTTTGGCTGCAGACATCTCCTCTGGCTGACTTGCTAATAGCAGTGGTCCTCCCAAATACCAGAAGTACTCCATGCTGAGAAGGAGCCTCTTGGATACTGTCTATTTTGGAATCTGCCAAGAGATGCATACTTGAAATGTCCTCTTTGCTCAACCAAGAAGGAGGACTTTCACTGTACATCCTGATATTGCTCTCCTGAATACGGGGCTGAACATTTACACCTTTTATAGTCACTGCAGGTCTCCAGTGCCTCCTATCCTTTGGAGTAAGTTCTTTCTCTTTGTATTTCTCCCTGACATACCTTGCTTTCTCTGGAAGTGCTTCTGCTGTTCTCTTCTTGTTAAGCAATTTACTGGTCCCATGAAATGACTTTTGGATTAAGGTCTTCTCACTAGTGCCAACCAGTTGGTTCTCATTTCCATAGTGCAAAGGCAGTACTTGCTTCTTCCTTCTCTTGGGCTTTACAGTGCCTCGGATGTTGGCAGGTTTGCTGCGCTTAGATCGAAGGGTGATGTATACCACATTGGGCAGTGCTGAGCTGTCATTTGTCTCCACCAGGGATCTTTCCAAGTCAGGAAATGACAAGGTGCCATCCAAAGGGATTTCCAGGAAAGGGGTCTGAGCAGCATCTTGGAGGTTCCTGGAATTTGCTTTGGGAGGTCCCACTCTGTGCTGAGGTACAGTATAACCCACTTGGCTGACAAGAAAACCCAGATATATCACAAAGGCTGTGCCCAATAGCAAATTTCTTCTGGTCCATAGACACCTGCCACTCCAGAATCTCAGCAGCCGGGGTGAGCACAGAGAACAAAGGAACCAGTTTATAATTTGGCATGTCTGATGCAGGAAGCTCATTTCTCCAGTGAATCCACATGATGAAAGTAGTTTAAGAATCAACTGGTTGCTGGCTGGGATGATGATGCATGCCTTCTAATTACCAGATTTCTCCTCCTCTTTTCCCAGCTCTGCCTGTGTGTGTGTGTGTGTGTGTGTGTGTGTGTGTGTGTGTGTGTGAGGGAGAATGCATAAACACACTGGAAATGCCCCAGGAATGTAAATGCTCAGTCCTAATGAATCTGACAGGTTCCCCGGACAAGCTGTTAAAATTGTATCGGCCACCTCAGAGGGTGTGATTTTGTTTCAGTGAATGAATGGAGTTGGCTGTGTAAACAAAGTTAACTGAGTCACAGGATGAAAAGTCTGGGAGTCCCTTCTGGACTGGTGCACTGTTACAAGGGAGAGAATTATAAATACCAATTTATACTCATCATCATCAAACACAGTTATTTTTACACAATGTAAATCTCTATGATCGAAAGCTACAGCAAGTGATTACATATGGAAATAATACCCAGGTATCTCATAGTGCATATATCAACTGAATAGACAGCAATAAAAATAACTCCCCAAACACAGTACAAAAATAATTTATTATCCTGAATATTAGAACGTGTGATGATAACACTGAGTCAGAGGAATATTTTCAGAATTTAGCCATCAACATTTTCTCTTCTCATGCTAATAATGGGCAAGAGGTTCTGTACAGCACATATTTCTCCTACTATTAAGAGAGAATGTTACAATAACTAGTCCAAGACTACACTAACCCAAAGAAGCATAGTTGCAATATTTTTTAAAATTATCTTGAACCCAACTTGACTTCAGTGTAACAGCCAACTATGAATATGGTTGATTTAACATTAATTGTATGCAAAGCTGTGTTGCCAAAAGCTGTCTTCAGTGGCTAAATTTACATTTAATATAAAAATGGAAAGCTGCAAATAATAAACGTATGTTATTCCTTGCTGCATCAGAAAACTATGTGAGAATATTTTTACAATCAAGGTCACCAGCCCTGTGACAATAATCAAAGAAACCACATGTCTGGCACACTTTAATTACACAAAGATAGAACACACAAACACAATTTTCCTGTGCAACCAGAAACACAATATATTCTGCATTACAAAAAAAATAACTTTGGTTCATTTATAATAAAATATCTTATCAAAATCATCTTACCTATGAAGTTTGGCTCAGTCTTGACTCTCATAAATCTTTAACACTAATGCAAAGCCATGTAAAAATGCAAAACAACAAAAGCCATGTCGATCATTAACAAAAATTCCAATATCCACAATAAGGCAATAACTTTATTAGCTCAAGCAATATGTCATGAACAGTGAGAAAGTTTCTGGATTCTCCAAACCTGTAGTCTTCAAAGTCCTGGAATACACAATTCTTTTATGACTGCATGATTCGTATTTTAAAGATTTCACTTCAGGCTCCGCAGTTCCTCAAAATATTCTGACCACACAGCATGGTTGTTTCTAAATAACTGCCACAAACTTACATTAACTTTTCATTATTAGCAATAGTTTCAGTATTAGAGTTAGTTTTATTAAGCAAGTTTAAATTCCACAGTGGAAAAACCCAGTGTGATGTCTCGTATCCAAAAAGAACAATCCTAGATCTGTTTGTTCCAACTCCTGTGGGCCCCCTAGTGTATATCTACCAAAACTGTTTATGGAATAGCAGTCTTCTTTACTGGGGGAAAAAACCCTGAGTAGTCTTGGACATTACTAAGGAGTTGGCCCATTCACTGAAACCATAGTAAGTTAAGGCTCAAGAAGTTTATAAGCTAAAACAGTTTTCCCCAACCTGGTGCCTTCCAGATATATTGAATTACAACAACCATGATGGTTGAAAATGATGGGAGGATGTAGTCTAAAATGTCTGGAGGCCACCGGTTGGGAAAGGATGAGCTCAAATTGGAAACAGAGAGAAGAAATGGAGGGCAGGGAAGATGAAGTCATATATATATATATATATATATATATATATATATATGCATGCATACTTAAGCTTCATTTCAGTTAAGTAGGGATGTGGGTGTAGATGGGGACTTCAGCTCTTAAGCCAAATCCCATATTGATGAGTTTTGAGAAGGAATGTCAAGGTCAGGAAGAAAGGCAGCTAGCTGCACATATGTCAGAAATTATTGTATCATCATCACATAGCATTTATGCCCTCTTCCTCTTGTGAAATGGGCAACCTGGTGTCGATGGAGGGATTATAGGCCACAGGACTTCCCCATCTAGTTCACCAGCTCCCTCCCCAGGCTCAGGCCTGTAGTTAAAAGCTCTTTCCTTCCATCAGTTTCTCAGATGTGTACATGAGCCCAAAGAGATTACCTACAATAGTGCAATATTCTCTGTTAGAAATCTAAGATTAATTTGAACTGGATTCACTGAAATTGTGGGGAGTGGAAGGGGTGTTGCCTAGAGAATCCTACTGTGGCAGCAAATATGTATAGCTTTGCTTTGAGGTACCTGAAACATCTAAACTTGCTTAAGAATTAAATCTATTCAGAGATATAAATAACATGTTTCAAATTGACAGGATTAATGACTGCAAGATAATGGGGTATATGAACAACCTTGCATTATCCTTCTCAGCATCTTCTTTTGAATATTCTGCCCTGCTTGGCAGACTGTTTGTTCTGTTTTTACACACTGAATCTTCTCAGAAGGTGTTTCTAAATTATTGCTATTACATTGCATTTTTATCCTACCTCTTTTTCTTCTTCTGTGGAACGCAAGGTAACTTATCCTCCACTTTATCATCACAACAGCAACCCTTTCAGGTAAGCTGGGCTGACTGAGTGACTGGCCCAAAGCTTCATGGCTGAATGGGGACTAGAACCCAGATCTCCCAGTCCCTGGTACAACACTCCAGCCACTACACCACAATAGTTCTTGGTGTAGTCAACAGAGCCATATCTTCCTGGGTATCTACCTATGCGGAGAAATTTATTTCTGATACAAGCCACAGAACTTCCCTGTGTATTGAAAATAAATGCAGCATGATTGGCCTCTGCTGTAAATAGATTTATATTTTGTAATTAGTTTGTTTTAGGCATAATAATTTGTTTGTTTGTTTGTTTGTTTAGAGCTTTTCTAACCCATCCACCACTGGCATCTCAGGATGGTTTACAACAGAAGAACAAGTCAAATCAAAACAAAACAAAGCACAGCATTCAACAGCTCAATATGATAAAACCCGTTAAAACCAACTAGACATTGAAATCATGGGAAATAAAAAGGGTTTCACCTGGTGCTGAAAAGAATAAAGTGTTGGTGCCAGGCAAACCTTTCTGGGGAGCATATTCCATAGTTGGGGCACCACCACAGAGAAGACCCTCCTCCGAGTAGCCACCTTCCTGATCTCCTTCAAGGAGGGGTCCCGAAGCAAGACCTCCACCTCAGATCTCAAGAGGCAGGAGGGCACATAGGGAATATCAGTATGTGGTCAGTCCATGTGTACACAAGTAAGAGCACAGAAATTAATGTTGGCAAGGGCAAGCCAGGATTCCACTGATCCCAGAGACATAGTGCCTTGCAGAAATGTGTCCCATTTCTAAATTCATTAAACTTTTGGGTAGAAATTATCTTTATCTGATTTCTTCTTCATATTTATCTTCTTGGAAACTTTTCTCATTTTCTGTTTTCTCCATTTAAAGTTTGGTTTACCATCTCTCCAGCAGAGCTCCATAAATATGTACCACCTTCAGTTCCACTTGTCCATCACTGGAGCATTCAGAGTGCAGCAAAATTGTCTTAGATGAGGGGTGCAGAACCTCAGGACAGCCATACCCTGCCCATCTGAGCTCCCAGGGTGGCCTTCTGAGGTTCACAAAACAGACCCTTTCTCTGGCCCCTCCACTTTCTCCCGGCCACCAGGTAAGTCGTGGTTCCAGGCTGTTCCCCATTCTGAAAGGTTGAAAAGTCTATTCTAAAGCCAAGACCTGGCGTTAAGAGCCTTAAGTTAGAATATTTTGGCATGCTTGGTATTTGGATCCTGCCCCTTTTGATCTTACCCCTGCCACTGGAGGCTTGTAAGGAACTGTCCATCATGCTGAATTCAACGCCCAAAACTGTGCCTGCACCATGCATACCTGGCATGGATACACCACTCCATTGACATTGGAGCCACCGGCCTCAACTGCCCCCACCCCTCTGCATCTGGTCCCCTCTCCTACCAAAGTGTGGCTCCCAAGATGTTCTCTGAAATGGCATTCCCTCTTGGGCCAAAAGATGTTTCACACCCCTGTTGTAGACTCTACACTTAATGGTTTAATGGGAGGTCCTGTTAGACAGCTATACATGTATTATTTTAGTTGTGAAACACCCAGCTCAAATGTCTCTTTCCCCCACACATCCCATTTCTTGCTCTACAATTGCTTCTAGTAGTTGATATGTCTGAACAAAACATACTGTTAATTTGTTTGACTAAAAAACCCTCCTCTGAACATGAGCAGTTTGAGCATCTACAATTCTTTTAATAGCACAGCACCATCATGATTGCAGGAATACAATGCCTTTAAAGACCATTTCATTGTAAAAAAGAGAGAGAGATTGAGAGAGAGAGAGATAATAAAATGAGCATCAGTAGCCATGCACATGCCCAGACAGCTGCCCAGGCTGTAAAGTGTTTTTAAAAGTAAGAGTAAAGGCTACCCATGCCAGGGCCTGTTCGGGGCTTCTGTGCCGCTACTACCCTCACCTTCTAATCTCTGGATGTCTGGTGGAGACTCCTGGACTCTAGGGCCTTGAACACTGGTCCCAAGGTCTAACCCTAGCTAGACTAATGAGTGGGTTAAAGCCCAAACCACAAATAAGGCCTTTAACTATCTCAGTCAGAATAAGCACACGACCTATTGAAATGAATAACATACCTTCCTGAAGGTGTAGGAAACCTGTGGCTCTCCAGATGTTTTGGCCTACATCTCCCATCAGCCCTAGTCATCATATCCAGTGGTGAAGGGAGATGTAGGCCAAAACATCTAGAGGACCTCAAGTGACTCACCCCTGCCTTACCATGTGCTACCTCAAACCTTTGCCTCCTAGGGGTCATTGAACTGAATGCCTTTTTGTTCCTGCAGATGCATTTGTTTCTGAAATGCATGTTCCTCAACCAAAGTAAACGCTTACTGCCCAATTTCCCTGGCTACGGACATGTTTTCCAACTGTATATGCTCCCATTCGATGACTAAGTCAACCTTTCCATTCCCAAAGAATTCAGACACTGCAAATGTGTTTCTATAGTGGCGAGGAAGTGAGATTGTTTTATTTTAGTTTAGTTTGGAATCAGTTATAACCCTTGAACATAAATGGAATGGTTTTTGGTCTGCCTGAAGAGAGGTAGGATGATGTAAGCATTGGGCTCACTTCTTGGAGAATACAGCATTCTAAGCTAGAACATTCAGACTCTGAAAGGAAGGAAGCAAAGACGGGCGTGGAATGCATTACTGAAATACCAAGGTTAACTAGAGAGATTAGTCAAGCCGCTGCTGAGTACCAGACTGCCTTTGGTTTGGGAGAAGGAATTCCATTTAGAATCAGCTCCTGACATGTATGAGAACTAACTCCACAGACAGAAAGATCTCTATATGACATTTGCTACTTTTAAAGAACTTTCTTATTACTCACTCTGGTTTGTAATGTGAGCCCTGACTGGCCAACTCAGCTCAGTAAAAGACTGTTAATTAGAAGGCTTTCCCCTTGATCTGCTAGAATGAGGAAAAGCGAAAGTGGCAGAGAAATGCTCACAACAGAGGACACCCCTTTATTTATTTATTTATTTAGTATGTTTTTATCCTGGCTTTTTTCCTTTCAAGAAACTCAAGGCAGCTTACATAATTCTCCTCCTCCTCACAATCTTATCCTCCCAAGCTCTATTATGGTTGCTCAGATAGCACTTGTAGTTCTTCTCCCTCTTTTGTCTGCAAAACAACCCTGTACAGGCTGGGACTTAAGGAACATAACCCACTAAACTTCATAGCTGACAGCCAAGCTACAAAGGAGTGGGAAAAAGTTTAATCAAGATTGAGGCCATGCATTCTTACGCAAGAGTAAATAAAACAATTGGGGTCAGTGTACGATTAGCATAATGTAGAGTTGGGCCCTGAATGGAAATGTGAAACTTGGGCTTCCTCAGTGTTAGTGGAATCCTCTAATCATTGTACCACACTGCCTCTCTACCATCTATCAGCCTGGGGAACAATTCTGGTTCTAATCCAGCACACAAAAGCTTATGTGAATACATAGGTTAGTCTTTAAGGGGCCACAAGATACTCTTGCCCAGGTGTGCATTTATTGTACTGACAGTACAATCCTGTGCAGAGCAAACTGCAGGCCTGCACATTCCCCCACCCAGATCCAAACTGTAGCACCAAAATGGTTCAACTCCCCAAGAGTAGTCAGCTCTCATCACCCTTGCTTGCTTTTTAGTATTCAGTATCAGCCCTAATAGCCTCTAGCCTGAAATGAAACAAACTGTTAACCCGACCTGAATTCATTTCAATTGCTATAGTCTGTGTAAAAGTAGCGCTATAGCTTCCTGCTACCTTAATTAGCTAAATTTTAATCTGTCCCCAAGTTTAAAATCTTGATGGCAGTACTCTGTCTATAGCTTGACAGATGGAGTTGTCTTGATGGCAGTAATCTGTCTATGGCTTGACAGATGGAGTTGTTGCAGGACTTCACCTGGATTAGGATTCTCGCAGGGACAGGGAAATAAATTGTAAACCTTTTCGCTCACTCACTATAGGCTTCACCCGACTGTCGGGGAGGAACCTAGTATTTCTGTTACTGCTGCTGCATCATCATCATCATCATCGATTGATTTGCTTTCTTTGGAAGTCCCTCTGAGACTTGCTCTCTGCCAAATGTGTTGCAGCCTGTTACGGATATGCTGCTTGTATTTGCAGAGGAAGAGTCGTGTTAGTCCATTGCAGCAAAAGCAACACGGTCTTGCTACAATCCTATACTCGTTTAGACAGAAGAATCCTACAACTCCCAGCATTCTCCGGCGAACTGAAGAGAGCTGGCCGTTGCAGAACATTTTTGTCTTAATAAGCGTGCTGGTGAGAGATGGGGAGGGAGTTTTTAAGCATGCACAAGGATGCGCCCTAATACACTTATTCTGACATGAAGTACCACATCAAAGTTCTTAAAATTAAGGGTAGTATCAAGTTCGTCCTTCGTAGAGTAGAGCCATTTTCACGAATGGGAACTAAATTAGCTGTAACTGCTCATGCATTCCATTGCACGGAGCCACCTTACGCGGCTGAGATTTCTCGTCTAGCCAGCCTCGGAAGGGGAAGAGTCAACGTGGCTCCTTCCCGACGTCCTCCGTGCGGCAAGGCTACCTAAAATGGAGAAAACGTCCTCCTCGCCTTCCCCTTTGCCCTGATCGCGTGATCGCATCCAAGCGCGGCGCCTACTCCGGGCTACGGGGAGTGCGGAAAAGCAAGGCGGAGTTCGGCGTAATGCTGCGGCTTCCACGCAGCCGCTTCGGTTCTGCCCGTGCGCGAAACACAGCAAGGCATTGGCGATGGCCCGCATATATGCTCGAATGAATTCGGCTTTGAACTTAACGTAATTGGAGGGGAGGAGGGTCACATGGGAACGGGGTGGAGTTGCTTGTTCTCGGCAGAGCCTAGCATTGAACATCAGCAGGAAGCAAGATCTGTAAGTAAATTAAATATACACAGGGAAACATGTTTACATTTCCGGTGAATGAACACATCGGGATGGAGACAAAGTGGATGCGGATTCCGAAAACCGATTTGGAAACAAAGGCCAGAGTCATTGTGTGACTGAACAAAAGAGTTCAAGACATCCCACCTTCCTGGATTGTAAAGCATGTCTGTAGAAGCAGCCGTTGCAAAACAGTGAATCATGTACTGAGGCGGCTTTCCTTATCCTTGTCTCCTGCAGAGTTATTGGACTACAACTCCCATAATCTCCAGTCAGAGAGTCTGGGACTTGCAGTCCAACCACTGTGGAGGACACTAAGGTTGGGGAAGCTGTAATTCTGAGTGTAACAATGCAGTGATTACTAGTGTTGCTAGTAGGCTGTGTGGTGGGAAAGCAAAAAGAGAATCTTTAAGTGCTGTTATGAGAGCCAGAAATAAAACGAATAAGGACGCACTCTTAGCATATTTGGATGGGAACCCCCAAGTGCACACACCTCCCAGCATTCTCAGGCAGCCATATTGGCTAGGGAATGCTGGGATTTGTAGGATTTGCATTTTTGTCCTTAACCTTCCCATGCACACTGATTTTGTCCAATGATATCCAATGATACTTCATTTGGTGCAGTATGGGAAAGGGGAAACTTTGTGTACAGAACTGTATGCATTTAAATTCTGCATGCAGGTGAGAATGCTTGAACATTCAGAAATCATGATGTGCATATATTTTACATGCATGAGCACCCTTCTCAGATGTGATCAATGCTTGAAGATGAAAGGTTGAACTAAACTTAGGCTGGCAGGCATAATTTGATTTTTCTCCCATCATATGTTAACTATATGTGTGGAGCCCTGAAATACAGTCCTGAAAAGGTAGCCTTTAAGTACTTTTGTTTGTTTGTTAATATTCACAATTATACAAAATATCCGATCTGTATTAAGAACTAAGGAATGCACCCAGTTTGCTGTAATAGCCCTTACTTTAACAACACAAACTGAATACAAACTTACAGAGCTGTCAAAGGTGGTCATATTGTGCCCATCAGAAGGAAACCACCAAAGGACTTGGGCTGTTCACCTTTTTCTCATGAGTGGGGGCCTGCACATAGGAGAGTGAAGGTACATAACTATACTTAAGCATGCAAAATTCCTCTGGTTTCAATCTGTACATGCTGCAAACCCACCAGTTGAGTTGGGAAGTCGTCTCTAGTCACTGAAGATGTTCCCGCAGGCTTGAACCAGTGGACACATTTAAATTATTGCATTTAAAAAAGCAAACTAACAATGAAGTGCACACCTTTGGGGTACCATTAATATGTATGCCATGTTTCAGGTGTCTAGATTTCACAGTCTTGGCACTACGGCATGGAAAAATGGACAGGCATGCACTCTCTTTTATTATTATAATTTTGGATTAATTACTTTAGAAGTTAGACTCATAGGAGAACTATAGGATAATTTACTAGCATGATGGACTATTAGGAAAAAAGGTCTAGAATTGTTATTTTAGTCCATTTGTCTCCTTCCAGAGCTCCCAGGAAGAAACAGAATTCAAGTAACTCCTTAAAGAAGGCAAATCAACTAAGAATTGAGATGGACAGCTGGCAAGGAGACATCAGCTCTGCCAGCAGTAATGCAACAGATCTAACAATTGGGTTTATCTCCTCTGGAGTAGCTGTCATCTTATTTGGAACAAACTTTGTGCCAGTTAAGAAATTTGACACTGGTGATGGTAAATGTTTGTGCTCAAGCCAAAATGCTATCATTATCCTTTGAGTAATTTTGCACATGGATGACTGTAACTTAAGGCATATATCATCAGTAGATTTGCTGGCTGGAAGATACTATGTGTTGTAGGACTTTTTTTTTAACTAAGCATGCATAGACTTGCTCCCTAAGGAAAATTATTAGAAATGGGACTAGGCAGTTGACCAACCCATCAGCCAATTGAATAGTTAACATAGATACCATTTCATGGCTTGAAGGTTTTGTGTAAACACAAACAATTGTTTTTCTTGAATGTGGTTTTTCAGTTACTGAAGGCCAAAAATCCCCCTTCCTTATCAGCTGTTACTGCCAACAGCATCTTTGAAAGAAACTAAGCACAGGGTGGGGGAGTAGATATTTTCATCAAGAAACTGTTGTGTGGCCTTAATCAGGGAGCACATTTTGGGTTGGAGTCCCCTGGCTATTGTGCTTAAGTGAACCGTTGTATTTGGAAGAAACATCTTTTTCAAATCAAGTTTACCCTAACAGGTAGTTTGGCCCTCAGACAGGCTCCCAAGAAACCATCTCTCCCTTTTACCTTGTTATGGGATAACTTTCTACTTCTTTTTCTTATTGGTCCCCATCTACCTGTCCTCCTCAAGATCCTGTACTTCTTGACACAAATCTACTATTCTACCCTATCCTTTAGCCTTCATTCTCTATTTCCAGGGCTTTCTCATTTTTCCTGTGGTTACCATCCATACTTCACCATATAGTGCCTCCTTCCATTAGACCTGACTTTTAACACCAGTCTAATTAATTATTTTTTTTATTCTGCCCAATAGCCAAAGTTCTCTGATGATGGTAAAAGTTCAATATGAGTTTTCCTTCTGTTGCTGATAGCACCATTTCCCCTGCACTTGGCAAACATTTCCCAGTTTCTCAGCCAAGCCCTGAAAAATGGTAGACTCTTTTAGCACTTTACAATATAAAACTCCAGCCATTACTGTATAAAATTATCTTTTGTGCTTAATTGTTCTTTGGTTTATTTGTGTTCTAGGAATGTTCTTTCAGTGGATTCTCTGTGCTGCCATCTGGATAGTTTCCTTAATCGTTAACCTTATTCAAAACAGTCCTAGATTTTGGCCTCTTGCTATGGTTGGGGGCTTTTTATGGGCTACGGGTAAGGCGGACATAATATTACTATCTCAGACTTTCATGTCCATATATATGTGGATCTATGCACAGGGAGAAATCCTGAGAAACCCAGATAGGGTCCCCTCAGCATGAATGTTGAAGTTCCCCAGGACCAACAAGTCCCCCAGGGACTCCAACATCACCTCAGTCAGCTCAGGTAGGGAGACTGATGGGTGGCAGGGTGGGCAGTACAGCAGCAGTATCCCCAGCCTGTTGTGATGGACCAGCACAGGCTGCAGCCACTCTAGACTAGTTGCTGGACATACAGGGCACCAAGAGAAAGAGGAGGAGAGAATTCCTATAGACCACGGAAATCCCCCTCCCCAGTGCTCTCATCTACCCTGATGTTCAACCAAGTACCCAGATGGGCACAGCTGGGAGAGAGTAGCACTTCCCTATTCACCCACCCAGATCTTGGTTATACATGCCAGATCAGCTGTCTCACATGAATGAGGGAGGTTTTATTCTGCACCAATCTGGCATATAGAAGCAGCATCTGGAGACCTAAGGGCCATATGACATGGCAACCATCAAACCCACAAGTAAGGGGAGGACCAGAACAGGGCCAGCCATTTGTTGTCTGGGCCGAATTCCCCGTACCTATTTCATGACATGCAATCATGCATTGCAAGCAAGGACTCAAATTGTGGTGATTATTAATGATGATAACGCAGCTATAACTATTGAACTAATAAGCATTTCCTTTTACTTTTGTTCTTTCTGTCCTGTGCAGGTAATATAACTGTTGTGCCCATTGTTAAAACCATTGGGTTAGGTCTTGGTCTCCTAATCTGGGCTTCTTTTAACTTGCTAACTGGATGGGCAAGTTCAAGGTAAGCATGCTACATGTGTAAACCTTACTGTGGGTAGTTGTTTTTTGCTTCTGACATTTAATTAAAGAAATACCACAAAACCAAACTACTTTTCCTTTTATAATGTGCTTAACTGTCATTAGTGGCCCACATGATTATTCCAGAAACATTGTCTGGATACTTCTGATGTATTTTTTTCTATATTTATATACTCACATGTTAACTCTGAGAGGTTCTGGGCCCTTTATTTCCAGACTTCTCAAAGTATATTGAAGGAATTCACCTTTACAGAAAGGAAGGCTTAATGCATTAAACTGAAGCTCAGTCCTTTACAGCCACTTGCTGGCCTAGCATTTTTTAAAGATTTGTTGTGTCATTGTCAAGATTGGCCTCAAACACCTATAAGGAAACTTTTTTCATGAGAACTCTTTGTATGCAACAGTTATTTAAATAGCACATGGAATCCAGATAACTTTATTGGCCATAATATATTTATGTATCTTTATATGAAGCCTTTCAGCTTGTGCGAGAATAAGATCAACTGGAATACTGTAGCACTGGAGAAATTCTGTGTTCTTTTCCTAGCCAATATGCTTCCTATGAGTACCACATGTGATATGTTTGTGCAAGTGCCATAGATATCTATTGGTAATGAACTGCATATGTTTCCTTGGCCCTTCCCATTCTAAGAAATCCTCCTTTTATTTGACAGGTTTGGTTGGTTTGGAATAGATCCTGAAAAAGTTGTAAAACCAGTCTTAAACTACATTGGAGCTGGACTTTCAGTATTAAGGTATTTTAAAACACTCATGTTTCTTAATGACTGTGTTATATTACTTTTAAAACAATAAGATGTTTTAAAAGTGGTTTTAAAAGCATGTGAATAGTTTGTGCTTTGAGTCTGAGGCCAGGAATAGGTGTCTAAGGAAGCAATCCTCTGCCTGCTCAGATAGCAAAAGGATGTGGAACTCACAGCACTTCCAGCCAGCATAGGTAGAATTATGAACTAGGATAGATGCGTGACACAAAATCCATAGGTTGCAGTCTCAGACACGTGGGAAACACCCCCCACTGGCACAGTGGGCTTACTTGCCAGTAAGGGTGCATAGGCCTCCACTGTTTTAATGCTGTTTGGGAATTGAGTGTGTTTTGTTTCTAGATGTTAGAAAATAAATGTTTTGCAAATGGCAAAAAGCAACACATAAAATAGGGAAAACACTTGGCATAAATGTTTCTGTTCCCTTTGTAGTACCATACTATTTCTTTTCATAAAAAGTGATGTTCAGAGTTCTCCACAACCATCAGAAAGCACGCCATTGTTAAGAGAACATGTAAGTCTTGTTTTGTTGTTGTTGTAAAAAGTGGCTCACATTAGCGTGGGGCTTTTGGGGGCGTTGCGGGAGATCCTTGGGAGGTCCTCAACATACCTCAGCTTCTGATTCAGATGGAGAGCTCACTTCTGGATGGGTGCTGCCTGCTGTCATCATGGGCTGAATAGACTGAGCAGAAGAAAAAGAGCAAGTGCGTGGGGGAGTCAATCAGACTATACTAAATACCTCATAGTAGAACTGGCCTGAAATATAAGAATAGCACTGAGGGGTTACAGTAAACAGCAGAGCATGGCACATTTGCTACTTTAGATTGCATTGACAGAATCATTTTAGCCAGTTTTTGAGGAAAGAAATGCTCTTTGTTGACCCCTGCCATTAAGACTCCCTCAGGACAGGCTTAATCCTCAGAAGCCTTTCTCTGGATCAGCTTTCCCTAACCTGGACTATAAATGGTTAGATTTATACTTGGACAATTTATGGACTATAAATCCTGTTATCCCCAGTCAGCATGACCAATGATGGCTAAGGGTGATAGGGGTTGTAGTCTAAAAATTCTGGAGTGTTCCAGGTTGCAGAAAACTGCTCTGGCTGTTGAATGCTCTCCCTACCTGCCTGGTGGGTAGCTACCAGCAACAGAGGCTTTTCAGTAGTTGCAGTCCATCAGCTGAACTGCAGCTCATTCCAGGGGAGAGCCATGTGATGCATAAGCATTATTTTTGGGCACCAAACCAACTCTGTGCCCAAGGTTTTAGTTGATACTTTGCATTGTTACCTTTACTTATGGCAATTGGCTCTGTCTGTGGTATAGCTAGTAGCACTCAGGATTTGTTTTTACTGCTGCTTTGACATTTGAGGGAACCCGCTGCTGGTGGAGTTTGTAGTTCTAGTGTTTTCTTTAATCGTTTTTAACTTTTAGTGTGTCACTTTGAAACTGCTAGTGTGTGATGAGAAAGCAGTATGAAAATAGATCGCATACAATAAAGAGCAATGGCATAAGCTCTGGAGTATCTTTCCCATAATTCAAGAAATATGTTACAAATAGAGCACACTTTAAAGAATTTTGAAGTTGTTGTTGTTGTTGTTATTATAAGTACTGTTATTGTTGTTTTTAAAATTTTATTGCCTCTTTCCTCCAAGGGGAATGGTTCTCCCTCCATGTCATTTTATCCTCACAACAACCTTGTGAGGTAAGTTAGGCTGAGAAATAGTGACTGACCCCGGGTCACCAAGGAACTTTGCAGCCGAGTGGGGAGCTGAGCCAGGGACTCCCTAGTGTAATCCAGCACCCCAGCCAGTGCACTTTCCCTCAGAAAGGACTTCCCAGGAGAAGAGCAAGCATCTCGGGGTGGCCAGTTCTGCATTCTTGAAATCCAGGCTGTTCCAGCAGCAGCACTGCAGGGGCTGTTAGTGCATTTTGACTCCCAAACCTGGTTCCAGAGGAAGAGATGAACATCTTTCCATCAGTGGAGGTTGATGGCTGATCAAACTGGTGGGGTGGAGGGTGGGTCAGCAGGGACAAAGCCAAGATCAGCAGAGAAGCTCAGTCTTGAATCCTGAGCGGTCAGCAACTCATGTTGCAGAAAGCAAAGACTAAGGTACATGCGCATGCAAAGGAGGGGTGAGGAATGCAAGCCCACACAAGCACCCCTTTCAACCACTTGCTCCTCTTCTGGGCACAACGCCCATTCCACAGAGAATCTGGTGATTTTAGGAGCCTGAACACACAGCAAGAGACGGTAGGCAGTGGAATGAACCATCCAAAATCCTGCTGCTGCTGCTGCTGCTGCTAATGGAGGTATCCTAGGAGCCACACAGCTGGGGCTGTTTGGGCAGGCTATACTTCTTTGTCATGTTTCTCCTGGCAGCTATTTTGTGGTGGTGCTCAGGGCAGTTTCTCAAATTTCCAGATGTACCCCTGGTCCAAAGGGGTTGCCCACCCTTGGTGTATAAGGATTGTAACCTTAGGCAGAACAGCAGGATAAAGTAAACTAAATTGCACTGTTATCAGTTCAACAATGATAGAGTTTCAGAGGAAATTCCTGTTGGGATTTTCTAGGGTACCAGGTCTCAGTTTCTCATACCTTGCAAATTATATAATCAATATAGATTCAGATGTTTTAAAAACTCTTGTATTCAATGCCCTTAATCATCTTGGACTCTTCAACAGTCAATCAACACTTCTCATCGTGAAGCTGAAAACAGGGGTGATGTGTCATGGGTGGACAACCTTTCTCCATTGGGAAGGAGATTGATGTAAGTTCTCTGCGTCTTTCTGGGAATTTCCTCTGCTTCACCTTATTCCCTAGAATATGCATTCCAAGATTTCTTTCCCATAAGGTAGCAGAGGTGCCAAACTCTAACCAGCACCAACCAGCTTTTTTCTTTTTTTTTTAGCTTGCTACTTACTTCACTGCTCAGGACATAGTTTAAATCTGTGTTTTAAAAATGCCTTCTCTGTCCTGCCTTGAAAGTTATATTTTTCCTTTAAAATGCCGATCACTGCTGATTTTCAGTTTCTTTTTTTCAGGAACACTATTAGTTTTGTTGTGCTTGTTATGTATTCTATTCAGAGAGCTTCTGCTGTAAAGGAATGCAGAAGCCACTTGGCCAGGGCTGAGAAGAGAAAACCAGCTTCTCACAGAGCGAACTGAATCTCTGCTGCCCACCTGATTATGATTGATTTTATTTCTATACCACCCAATAGCCAAAACTCTCTGGATGGCTTACAGCAATGCATAAAATACAACACAATAGAGTACACAATACAAATATCGTAACATGTCACCGCATTAATTAAAAAAACAAACTTGGCTTAAGTAAAGGCACAATCCTAGGGCCTCCTGACATCTTTGCAGTTACCTCTCACAGTGAGAGCAGGGATAGCAGTGGGGAGTCTTCCTGGAGGGTAGAACAGTGAAAGCCAAGGATGCTTTGTTGGCTACAAGTAGGACTGCTGTAGGCCACTGCTTCCACATTTTTGGCTATAGGGTGGCTCACGAATGAAACAAATAAATGAGTGCACACATTAAGTTGTGAATGCTTTGACATTTTCTGGTACCATTGGCGGTGCTTTGATGGGTGCCATGTTTTTTGCAACAGCGCTGCATGCTTGTAATGAGTATTTATAACTCAGTGCATGGATTTGCCATCTCTTCTTTAATATTTCTTTTTCTCTAAGAGGCTGCTCTCTGGCTGTGATAGCTGGAATATTGTACGGTTCCAGTTTTGTGCCTGTTCTGTACATCAAAGACCATGGCAGGAAGAATGGAACTGCGTACACAGGAGCAAGTCAATATGGTACAGACACATGAATGCTTGCAGTGTTCCTGTATACTGTGAACTGTGGCCATTCATGGTGGATAGAAGGGGTGGGAAAAGATTCCTCACCTTTTCCTTTGCTTCTGCTTCCCCTCCTGTTTCTACTAGGAGGCACATGTGTCCTCACCATAGCAATCTTGTTGTTGCTGAACTTTCCATGACAGCAGCAACATGCCCCCCTACATACACAGTTTTGCAAACAAACAAGGCATGTGGGGAATGCATGCCTTGTTTGGAAGGAAAACAGTTCTCCTGGAAGTTTCCTAGATGCACAGTTCTCTTTGTAAGGGGAGCGCACACCCTCCCCTCACCCAGTTTCCTTCCAGAATTAGGGCAGGGCATTGTTGCCAGCCTGACTGTTTTGGGGAGGGGGAGGTTGGTGGCTTCAAGGGGAGGACCACAGCCCCCCCCCTCCCCGGCCTTCAGATGTTGCCCATCCTTGCTCCCCCAGTGCTTTCAGTTTCTGGAGGTGAGTCATAGAAGGACATGGCAGTTGCTGCCAGACTCTCCATTAGTCAGAACTGACTTGAGCAGAACTCATTTGTGATCTTGGCATGGTTGGCAGATCCCTCTGCTCTTGATCACTCTGCAATTGACCCGGTTCAGCTTATGTAACGCATGATAAGCCTGGTGCTGGTGGGTGAAGGTTGAATGCATGGCATCCACGCAAGCTGAGAAAGCCTGGGTTATGCTAAGTTCAAGCCACCCTCTCATAATTCCCCAAAAGGTCATGAGTAATGCAGTGGTTGTTCAGTTCTCGCTGGGTTCATGCCACCTGAGAACACCTACATGGGGTGTTCAAAATGGCAGTCTCGCACATGCTGCAACCTCACTGTGGGTTAAATAACCCGTGGTGGGCTGCTGCATCATGAAGACAGCCCCACTGGCTCTTCAGGCACTGCCATCACAAGTCTTTGCGTCCCAGGAAGCACACTCTCAGGTTAAGGATGCCATATGTGTATTTTTGATATGGATATATAAGTGTTTATTAGCTGGAACAAAAAGAAGCTGCTGACATAGCAAAGCTTATGGAATCACCATAGAATAGAGTAATGAGATGTTTAGGGTACAATGTTATACATGTTAAGAGAGAGCTCTCAGCATTTGTAGCAATGCACCCTCAGCTGTGTCTACAGCATGCAAATAAACTGAGTGAAATACCTAATTCAATAAAACTGGGGAAAACATGAGAGGGTGTTTATCAGCCTTCCTTAACTGATGAGTGAGTGTCCATTACATCTGGAGAGTGTCAGTTTGTTGAAGTCTTGTCCTGTATCAGTAGATTTGTGGATTGGGTAAAAGCATAGCCTCACCTGAAGGAATCAGAACTGTGATTCACTTTTGTGAATTTCCTGAATATATTTGTGATTTCCTCACATGCCTCAATATTTGTTGCAGATTTAGATTACGTTTTTGCACACTTCAGTGGCATCTTCCTTACAAGCACCATCTACTTTTTAATCTACTGTGGAATAATGAAAAACAATCCTAAAGTTTATCCTGAAGCCATAATCCCAGGTATAATTCCAAAATAGATCTATACAGTGTTACAGCTATAAGCCCCTTTTAAGTATACTTGAATATGCTGCTGCTAAAGAAATCTGTAATTTGGCTGACTGACCTTTATTAATCATGTAATCTGTAGATATGTGAATATAATATATTTTAGTGAAAACATATGATCAGTGAAGTCCTCTGTTTTCATTGACGGTACACCCAGTTTGTGGTAGTTCCCAGGATAATTTCTCCAGTGTGACCACTGGAGGTTTCGTTGCCCCACGGGGTAGATCCTTGTTTTGCCAAAATGACACCATTCAAGCATGAGAGGGTGGGATCAGCTAGCGAAGGAAACCATGTGCTTTGCAGAAAATCAGAACATCTTTAGGAACCAGAGGAGAATGGCAGTGGATTGAAGTGCTGTAGGAAAGGACATGATTTGATGCTGGGCTGGAACCCTAAATGGGAGATTTCATTCTGCAACAGTGCAAACACCACTTGGATTGAATATAGGAAACATCTGTACATTTATGTATTTGTTTTATTCTCTCTGCAGGATTTGTTTCTGGTGTATTGTGGGCAATAGCTGATTGCTGCTGGTTCCTAGCAAATCATTACCTCAGCGCTGTGATCAGCTTTCCAATAATCACTGCAGTAAGTACCCATTGACCTGCACATCACCTGTGGGCTCTTTTCCGCACCAAACTATGCATAGATACCCTCCTGCCTTTTTAAATGATGATTTCCTGTTCACTTCTAAGGCATTCATCCTACATCATGTCATGTTTCCCCTTATTCATTTCAAACCACAGTCATTCTCTTTGAAGAATGGTTCCTTATTTCCAGTTCACAGCTAACAAATTGTAGCCACTGGAAGATGAGTCTGTGCATGAACAATGTGACTTGTCGAACCCACAAATGAGAGCAATAAATGAGTGCATGAATTAACTTGTAGATGCTTTGACATTTCTGGAACCATTGGCAATGTGCTCTGGGGTATCACAGCTTTGCAACAGTGCTGAATGCTTGTAATGAATTTTATAACCCAGCACATGGATTTGCTGAGAAACTACTAGAAACTGTTTCTGAAAACAGCTATTTTCAGTAACCCCGGGCTCCACTCTTGTGTGGGACCCTTTGGAAAAAGACTAGCTTGCCCCCTAGATCTACACAGGCCCTCTAATTGGGTAGCTGTTCTGACCCAATGCGGTGACATGCAGTCAGGACCAGACGGCATGGGCTTGTCTTCTTCCTTCCCTTGTCTCCTCCCTTCACTTCCACTCCCTGCCTTTTCTCATGATCTGCCTGAGCACTTGAAGGTGGCAGCCTTGAACTTACCTCACCCGCCTCCACCATCTTGATTTCCACACTTCCCATTTCCCAGCCATCACAGGCCTCATCCAAAGAGTCAGTACAACTCTGACCCTGGAAAGTGTACCAAGAACAACTGCCTCATCCATTACCAACACACCATATGGCATAGGTCAGATTATGTTATGTTTGTTAAAGGAGGATGGTGCTTGCCCGTCCAGGCAGAGACAAGAGGGGGTGTGGGTTGAACACCAACCCAGCAAGGTAGACTGCTGCCACCCCTTACATGAGCCTCAGCCTAAGTCAGGGGGCTCTTGGGCCTTACAGGACACCCTTGAGGCTTGGGGCATTGTGTTCTGAACCCCTATTTATTTATGTAAAGTTTTTCTATGCGGTCATTCATTAAACATCTCATGATGGTTTACAAAGATGACAGCTTCCAGCTCGGTACTCTAAGCAGTGGCAATAAACCAAGCAGAAAGTTCTGGATTTAGTACTAGGGCTTAGTTGGAAAGAAGCACACAACATCTTTGAGGTAGGTGATAAGTTCATTTAGAAAGGAACAGGGAGAAAAGAGAATAAAAGCCATAGAAGAACAGAGTAATAGGACAGAACCAAACAGATATACAAGGAATCCAAAGCAAAAGCAGAGACAAAGAAAAAGACCATGGGCTTCCTTAATACCTCTGCTTCTGTGCTCAGAACCCTGGCAAATCCAATAAGAGCCTTGCCGGCCAGTCACAGGCTGGCTAAAATAATTTTCTTGGGCCCCAGTGGAGGAGAGGGGAAGAGATTGGCTGAATGAAACTAGCTGTCTCAGTCCAGTTAACTTGATTTTGGCCCAGCCTTGAAGCTAAAAGCCTCACAAAATCACACCATCAAACGCAAGATGTGTCACTAGGTGCAGCTTCAGTCTGGCAAAATAAACTCATAGATTTCTGGGCTGCAAAAAGAGAAAACGGACTTCTTGTCAATGTTTTTTCCTTTGCCTTTTGTTTTAGGATAATATGATAAAATGATTTCATCACCCAAACATTAAACGTAATTCTAATCTGACCTTGCTCATTCTGGCCCCAAATCTCTTCCCCAGAGGCCTGATGATGCTTTCATACCAATGGAAGGTTTCTCTCCTTAGCTTAAATGCCATGCAGTTTCCAAGGGGGGATCACAGCTGGATTAACTCTCCCCTCACCATGAGTTGCAATACAGGAGGGCAAGAACCCGATTGTCCTATTTAACTAAATTTAATCTTGTAATAATTGTTGATTTTGATCATGATCATGAACTCCATCATGGCAATTAAGCTGGGGGGGGGGAACTATATTGATGCTGAAATGTGTATGTGTGTGAAATGCTTCATGAAAAACCTGACCACCAATTTTGTTTGTGCTATTATTCCAACCCCCTGACCCCACCTGTTCACACCATTGCAAATCTATGTATTTATTTATTAAAACTTTTATATGCCATCCCCTATGCGTGGCATCTTGGGATGGCTTACAAAGTTAAATGCCATTGAAGAGGAACCAAAAATTTAGGGTGATCTGAGGTTGAGAAAACATTCTGATCGTGAGCAACAGTTAGTGCAAGATTAAATTTAAAGTGAGGTAATTGAGCTCTTGCCATTTGGGCTCTTGCCTCCTGAACCAGTGATAATAATATTTATGTATGTTGCACTTGTTCTCTAGGGTCCTGGCTTGATAGCTGCCTTGTGGGGAGTCTTGGTGTTTAAGGAGATAAAGGTGAGGGCTGTGATATCCTGTCTGCACATCTGCTTCTAAGGCATGATGCTCAAGCCTGTTTTAATAAGGGTGAGAAAGGGTGGGCACTTTTTCCCCATGCTGCTTCAGCATGTGAAGAACCCTCTGCACCTTCTTCCATGGGGAGAAGTGTGAGCTCTGATTCAGAGGTTCTGAACAATTCTAGGGGGCTGAAGCACAAGCCACTTCTCTATTTTCCCCAGCTTTCTTTTGGATTTCCAAAGACTTGGGCTGAACTATAACTTTTCATGCATAACAAATCCCCCAGTGGCTGCCTCTTGTAGGGCAAATGGTTTTGGGGTGAGGCAATTTGGAGTAAAGCAGTGGCAAAGAAAAGGGAATGTTTAACCCTTTCCCTCCCTGATACTTTCCCTTTACATACATATCCCCTCTTCTCAGCTGTTCACTCCACTGCTAGGAGTCAGGCACCTGTTTCAAGAGTAAACACTCTGCGGTGTGGGACAAGAAGCAGGTAGGGGTGGCATTGTGCTGCAAAGTGGCAGACGTGCCCCCTTCCCAAACTTGCTTTTCCTAGATTACCCAAATTCATATGTAAAGACATAGTTCTGCCCTTCATTTTTCTTCTGAATGAATTGATTCAGAGGATTGATGGTTTGTTAGGCAGACAAATGGTAGCTGGCCAGTGTTCACGCAGATGGTTTCATGGCTGAGCAGAGAAGTGAACCCAGTCTCTGCAGTCCACATTCAGCTCAGTTTTACAAGCTGATTCATGCCATTGATTTCACCCACTTGGATTGCACTTTGGTAGGCAGATGGACACAATTTTTCATATAAAATGGACTGCTTCACATGCTCAGTTACACCAGCCATAGTGAGTGACCGCATGTGTTGGCTGCCAGTGTGAATAGTCAAGCTTCCACAAGCATATTTATCGCATGGGAACGCAGGTAGGACGGCCTGTTGCCTCAGTTAGCAGACTATTCCAGAACATAGGAGAGCCTCTAGGTTCTGGATGGCTTGTTACTCATAAGAAGAAGCCACCCTGTCCAGCTTTATGTGTTATAAGAAGCCACAGTGACTGCCTGCCACACCTGGAAAATTCCCAGCCACGGCTGTGACATGCTGCAAGCCAGGTAGCAAATTACCTAATGAAGGTATGACCCAGGTTGGCCTGTTCTTACGGATATGCACTCATACAGGAAGTCAGCTGCTCTGCAACTTAACATAAGCTAATGCTGCTTCTCTTCCCCATCCCATGCCCCTTTCTGTTCCTATGCAGGGACTGAAAAACTATCTATTGCTCTTGGTAGCGTTTTGTGTTGTTTTGGCTGGGTCGCTCTCCACAGCATTTTCTAAAGTCTGAAGAGACTGCTTGAACCAGCAGATGGTGCCAGTAGCTAATACTATCGCGACCTTCAAGAAGGAGCCTATCTGATCTTTTCCTTGGATCACAAATTTCATCACTCTCACCAGAGAAGCAGTAAAAGTGCCATAATCAAGCACCCTTTGTGCTAACTTTGAAACTTTCTTCATGTTTATATCAAGCATCTTCAAATTACAGAAAATAACACTTTGTAAATCTCAGGGTTGAGTGATCGTGGGATGAAATCTAGGGCAGCCATCTCAATGATCCCATAATGTTTTATGTTGTGGGTTGATACTGATTTGATGGAGAGGGGCTACAGTATACTATTAAAAGCTTGGTGAAGTATAATCATAATTATTCTTGGTCACAGGGAGTAACATCAGAATTGGGCCCAGTACCAGTTTCAAAGCTAGGCATGAAAAGGACTAACATCCCAGCAGGGGCTCATTACCAAGGACTTGGTGGAGATGTTCTTCTTTGCACCTTCACAGCTGGCTTGTTCAGTTGCCTTTCGCTCTGGACCAAACATCAGAGGTGCTAAGGGGCAAGAGCAGTGAATGCAGCTGTGCAGTTGCTCCCTGCCTATCAAGAAAGCACATGGTAGCAGTGATGAGGTGGAGGAGCGAGAGCTAATGGTGGGGAGAAGGCAGACTTAGTGAGGGAGAAGGCATCTAGGGTTGTATTACTCAAGAGGTCTCCAAAGCCCGGAGTCAGCAGTGGTTGGGCATGGAATACTTATTTTTTCATGCATATATATGTGTGTGTACTTAGTCTGCCATCCATAAGTGCTGTATTCCCCTGTCCCAGTTTTATAAATGGATTGTTGAGCTCTGAAGAAGTCAAAAGCTTGTTCACAACTTTTTGACATTTGGTTGAACAGAGTATGTTTTGCATTTGTTTATTTTGTCTAATAGACCAAGAGAACTACCTACATGTTTTATTTATTTTTGAGCCATTCTGAGGATAATTGAGGGTGTATGAATCAGCTGACTTGCTGAAGCTAAGCAGATCTGGGCCTGGAAGATCACTTGGGAAACCACTGCAGGTATATCACTTTGAGTTCCATGATAGACAAAGGGAAGGATACAAATTTACTAAATAAACATGTTGATGGCATGGCCAAGACTTCCATTGTGTACTGAGCCAGCTTCCCACTGCCTGGTGGTCTCCTGATAGCTTGGATTACTGTACCCATTTTCCAGGCACTGGGCAATCTGCAGCAGTATAAGCCACATGAAAGTAAACTGAGACCCGCAGGTGGGTCCAGGCTAACGATGTTTGGGGAAAGCATCTGGGGGATGGGAATTCTTTGAATTCCCTAGGCTCAGCTTCCTTTGTAGCAACCTTTGTGCTGCTGCATGTGATGCAGAAGGCTGCCAGTTGCACAGTCTTAGTTTTGCAAGGATTCACAGACTTACTCTGGGCTTGGCTTATTTTCCAAGATAATGGCTGAACATGAGAAGCAGTCCAGGACGTCTAGAGGGATAGATTCTGCAGAGTTTCAGTGCATCCATAATTTAGAACCACGTTTTGAGAAACACTAAAAAAGAAATCTGTAAACACTGCTCTACAGCAGGATTCAGCAGGTTTTCTTCTTTGTGGGTTCTTCATGGTTCCATTGTATGAGAATGCATCAACATAGATCACAAGAATACTTAGGAAGTTCTAGAAAATTAGAAATAGTGGCCCTTGCCCTGCACTGATGCACTGTAGCATCTCATGGATAAAATGGGATGTAGCAAACTTGTCACTGGTGTGTCAGTGCATCAGTCCCTGGCCTTTTGTCCTCCAGATATGTCAGATTCTAATTACTATGATCCTCATCTAGAACAGCTAATGGCTTTGGTGCTTAGATTGCTGCTAGGTAGATTGGTCTGCCTTCTAGAAAATGGGGGAGGGAATACAGTGCCTTGTATTCACACACTCCTTTGACTCTTCCACGTTTCTCTGTGTTTTAACCTGGAATTGAGGTGAATTTAGTTGTTATTGTTACCACTTGATGTACACAAAATACCAAACACTGCTAAGGTGAAAAATAAGTTCAATGTAGCACAAAAGTCAAGTAAACAGAAACAGCTAAGCATTTATTGATTGCATAAATATTACTTATTTTGCTGTTGCAAACAAGCTCTGATGTAAACCACAGCCTGCAGAAGTCACATAAGTAGTTGAATAGAGTCCAGCTGTTTGCAATTCCAGTGCCACTTGTTCTCAGCTTAAGTACACTTGTTTCTAGAAGACCCTGAGTTTGTCAGTTAATATATCTAAGCAAACAGCATCAGGAAGAGAGAAGCTATCAAAACAACTTCAGGTTAACGTGCAGAAGCATCAATCAGCATTAGGTTATAAAAATTATCCCAGATTATGAACACCCCAGAGCACCATTAAATCCATAATTATTACATAAAAAGAATTATGGCTCAACTTCAGCTCTGCCTTAGAGATGCTGTCCCCAAAAATCCCGTGAATGTGTAAGGAGGCCATAAAGTCAGTGTAACGAAGAGCCAGGAAGGGTTAAACTAAATAAGCAACTGGATTTTAATGGCCAAGGATGCGGGGGGGGGGGGTGCACTCCTGGGTTATCACTGAGGATGGACTAAAGGATGATCTTGGACAATAATGGTGTGAATTGCTCGTAACAGCTGGGAAAGTTGCAGCCTCTTGGATTGGCTGGTTGACATCATTCCACCTGCCAGGAGAAGGGGTTGATAAACTCCTGGCTAGTTTTAGTCTCCTGCTGGGTTTCAACCTGGTGTGAGGTTTCATGACCAAATGTTGAAGACTTCATCACAGGGAAACCTGCCATAGGGAAAGAGTCACTTTATTTTTTCTCTGTGGTGCAACAAGGAGCTTGCATGTGTGTGGCTAAGATATTGTACTCTGTGCATACTGTCTAATGTTGCTGTTACCCATCTGACCTTTCCCCCTTTCTTTCTGTGTCCCACTCCTGTATCCCCTTATTGATGCTTTAATAAACTTGCTTTAATCTGAGTTAGCATTTGGGTGAGTCACGGTGCTAAATCTGGTGCCTTAGCTGCAGGGCTTGGTCTAGCGTCTGGGCAGGTGTTGTCCAGCAACAGCAGGACAGAAAAGGGTTATCATTTGGCTTATTGTTACAGTCAGCAAAGCCAATTTTGACTCTGAAGGACCTGGAGAAATTCACAGCTGCAATAGAAGAAACTTATTAAAGGAGAACTGTGACCTAGATGTGCTTTATGGAAAAGTGGCAAGAAAGCCGTTACTGAAACAAATCCATATCAAGGTCCATTGGAGGTTGCAAAAAGGCATTTCGGAGACACAGCCAACATGTAGCAAAGGTTCTCTGTTGTGATGAAACCAAAACTGAAATGTTCAGCTTTGCAGGAAAAGCCAATGGATGGGCCCACAGTGCTCATTGCACTGAGAACACCATCTGTCTGTGAAGCATGTTGGTGGCAGCTTTTCAGCAACAGCCCCATCCAACCTGAACAAAGCTGGGGGTATTTTGCCAGGCAGAATGGGCTGATTGTGATTTACCCAAGAAGACTTGCAACTCTGACTTGTTGCCAAAGGTGCTTCTACCAAGCACTGATTCAAAGAGGTGAATACCTATACAACCAGCAAGTGCCCGTTTACTTTCATTTACTTTCATGACAGCAAAAATATTTTGCACCTTCACAGTGTTGAGTATCTTATATTAAATCTATTATAATTAAATCCCTTTCATTTCCAGGTTGTTCCATGACAAAATCTGGAAATGTCAAAGGGGGAACTTTAAATACTTTTACAAAAGATGGTACTTTCACTTTCTTTTATGGGTGGGTGGGTTAATAGCACTTTGATTCAGCCATAATTATTGCCACTGACTGTTAAGTCACTGATTCTGTCTTTTACTAGAACTGACAGAAGTACTGCCCTTACAACTTAGCTGAAATTGCAGTAGTTTTCAGTAAAGCCATTGATTTTCCTAATCTGGATTATGAAACTGAATGGCTTGTTTGACAGGCCTGATTGAGGAGGACAGGTATAATAGAGATACCCTTATTATACATGACCTGTTCTGTTTCCAGTTTTAGTCCATCTGCCTTTAATTATGTTACAGGCAATTTCAAGGTAGCAAAACACCATCTGTTACGTCTGTCAGTCTGCTGATCTTCTGTATCGGTGGTCTGACTCACAACGGTCTAACTCTAATTAATTTTGGGTCAGACAAAAAGAGTCCCTCTAGATTATTTCTGTTTCATTGGTTAATGGCCAGTCTTTCCTTTGTGTAACATGTAACAATTTCAGCTATCCATGAATGACACACATTTATTCGACCCCTTCTATTCTGATTCCCGATTCCATTACTGAACAAACATGCCTTTAAAACCTGGCTGATCTGGGCTCAGAGAGTGAATGCCTGCACATTTATTCTGCTTTAGATCAGTTTGAACACAATCCCATCCATATTTCCTTTGGACTAAGTCCCAGATAAGGGTGCATAGGATGACAGTCTCAGTGACTTTTAATACAGAGGATGGCCATATACTTTAAAATGGTTAGGTAGAGGTGGCAGGGCTGGCTTTCCTGTGATTGTCTCCTCATCTGTTTTCTGCCCAAACACAGATGGTGCCACTGGGAATGTAAGTTCAGCTGCTTGGGATTTGGTGTATGCGGTCCCACTGGGATGGGTGCTGCCAGGCACCTGATGTTATCTCACATCTCTGTAAAAACCTGGCTATGATCATCCAAAGCACTGGACCAGAGGGTAAAACTGGTAGGTATTTTATGACAAAATCTTGAGGAGTTGCTGTCTCTGTCCTAAACCTGTGTCTAGAAGGTTCAGTTGAGTGCAGTGAAATGACCTTACAGAATGCCACATCTGACACTCATCTGGTTTAGAGGTAGACAGAACCAATACTTGTGCGCATGTTTACAGTAGCATTTCCATGGCACTGGTGTTGCCTTATGTACTGGACTGGAATTAAGCCATAAGCTCAGCAGCAAGGCTGAGCCCCAGAATTGCTTTCATTGTCTGGCCTTAGCTTAGGAGCAAGCATAGAAATAATATGAAGGGTGTCTTTGGTTATGTATGGAAGGATTTCCCAACACTGTGAATAACCACACTCCCAGTCACACACATGGGGTTATCCCTGAAAACTTTGCAGGGCAGAAGGCATGATCTGAAGGGAAATCTTAATTCACATGAGCAGGCCTATCATTTGGTAACTCATTGTTCAGTGGCATATCCCTCAGTGATTTGCAGCCATAGAGAAGGATGGCTTCCATTGAAATGAAAGGCTTACCTGTACCTGCCTCTGTGTGGACTGTAGCTGTGGTGTTTGGGAGATGTGAAAATAGTGCCTGCAATGACATAAACCTGGCATCTTTTGCCTTCTTCAAGTGTTTAGTGTCTGCCAATGAAGAAACTCTCTCGACTGCACCAAGCTTGCAGCAGCTGTGTCCCCTTCCTCAGGCAGCTCCTGATGGACATCCATATGAAGGTGAATTATAATCAGATGACTCCTTCCATGGAGATATGAAGTGTGATTGATCAGACATGTCAGGAAGCCCTATGCGAATACCTGGGCAGGCAGATGCCCTACTTTACAAAGAGCAATCCTCTATTTGAAGAGGTGCCACAGAACTATCCTCTATTGGATGGGATGTCAACGCCAAGTCTGGTTTAAAATTGAAGAACCATCAGAAAGAATTGCTGGGCCTTGCAGCTGCCCATCAGCAGTACCTGGTCAGCAGACTGGACAAAGCACACGGGTCACCTGGTCACAGTCTTCACATTGTGTTTCTATTTTAATAATAGAGAGCAAGCCATAGCCAATGTTCTGCAAATTGATGGCCCAATTTGGTGATCAATTTCTACTTTTTGGAAGATATATAAGTGACTACCCTATTCCAGAGTAAGCTCCACCTTGTCCATTCTAGAGAGCCCCTTTCACACATCCAGGACCCACAGATTCCAAACTGTTATGACTATTGAGATACAAGTATGAATTGATCGGTCCTCTGATTTCACAATACATGATGCACTCTTTCTTTTTTCCTAAACCTTTTGAATACATTTTCAGCCACCTCTTAAATGTTTGGCAAATGTTATTATATACAGGATAGAGAAAAAAAATAATCTTGCTCTCAATCTTTTTACAAAATATACTCTGCTTTTGTCATAACATTCATCTCTAGCATATATATCCCAAAGCTGACTTCAAACATTTCAAAGCTTAAATATTGGTTTCCCAATTTATTCCTAATGTTATGAAATACTATTTATCTTGTGGTTATATGAAATATTGCTTTTCTTGACTTCTGTGTCTAATAGAAATAAAATAAGTTAATACAGTGTGTTGTATTCAAGCTATAAGTCAAGATAAATTATCTCCTTTATTAGAAGAAGGTTAATTAAACAGACTAAATATTGCCATCATTATCTTACTCCTTCCAATAGTCTGGCCCAACTATGGCTCTAAAATTGGTCAGGCAAAAAGGTAGTGAAACTCAATCAGTTACAAGAGTACTTCCAGCCTCATGCTTTTCTCTTACAAATGTTCCCATATGCAAATAAATGTGGTTGCCCCTTTACTTGATCATGTACTGACTTTCTCTTCTGTTCAAACTGCATTGTGTGTGGGGGAGAATTTCTATCTATGAATGCCACTTACAGGCCTGTGAGTCTTGATTGTAAGACTGGGAGATTAGTCAGCTGCTAGAGATTATCTTGAGGGCTTCATGCAGTCCTTTCTTTTGCTATCTCTAATAACCTTTTCTGGAAGGAGAGAGGAAGTAATCATGATTGAGGGGGAAGGATAACTGCTCCCAGTCACAGGTCAAGATTCCTCCAAAGGAATCCCCGCTGTTCCCTCCAAACTCAGATCAGAGATAACAGCAGGGGTGTAGAGAAAGGAAGTTCCACCCAGCCTGGGACAGTGCAGACTACACAAAGCCAGGGACCTGACAGGCACTGGGGGCAGCCGTTTCTTTTCCTAGTGGAGGCTGAATAGCTTCACAGAACATGGCCCATCCCCACTGACATGGCTGGTGCTGGGAAGAATGCAGCTTCACATGGAATCCTTTTCTCCATGCTTTCAATGGAGATTTGTTATTTGGGCCTCATTGGGAGGATGGCTATGAAAATGGGATGGAAAAACATGCTTGCACTGCAACACATAAGCCAAACATGCATGCTTTGCTACCTGTGTTTTGAAGATCACCTAGTTTGGCCTTGGGGTGGTTCAAGAAGAAAGTCTGCAAATTACACAAAGGTAAGGCATGTATGGGAGATGCAAGTCTCGCATATATGCCTTACATGTTTGCTGATAAAATACAGCTATTAGTGGAATTGCAGAGTCCACCAGCTTTAGCAATCCCATGAAGAGCTCTGGGAATGGAGCTATTGTTTGTTTCTGTGGTTTCATATGGGTGTTCTGGCCTTTTCTTGGTCTGTATCGGGTGTTTAGATAGATTAGCCAGATGGCTACTGATCTGCTGCTGGCTTTACCTCAGATGTCCTAATTATCACGCTATGCTTTCTGTATTGGACAGACTGGTTCAAAACCATAACACATCATTGGAAAATAGCATCATGGCTAGATGCAGACACGTCCATGAACCTGAACCAGCATAATTGTGCAATAGTTCCTTCTGCCAATGCTTCCTCCTCAGGTTGTCATTCATACTGATTCTTTTCTCTATAACTCATTTGACCTCCTAGACCTCAGTATGAAAGAAATTTTGATCTATATGTTGTTCTGCTAACTCTCCTCCTAAACTAAACATTTTCTGAACTTAGAATAGCTATATGATGGAAATTACACTTCTTGTAGTAGTGT